AATCTCTTTGGATATTCAAAGGATATGTTCTTCAAAGTGTTCTAAGTGTTCTCATCAAGATAATCACGAAGAGGGTTGTTTATAGAAGTTAGGGAGTGGATAGAGATGAAAAGAATTCAAAAAAACTAGCCGTTTGGTAGTTGAAACTGTCGACTTATTCGAATAACTCAAGAACTATTCGAATAGTTTGGATCAATCGCGTGGCTTGAAAAACCAGTTCCTATTCGAATAAATGGTGATATATTCGAATAAATTAGGGTGAAAAGCCAGGAGTTATTCGAATAAATGGTGATTTATTCGAATAAAACAGGTTAATTTCAGTCACAGGAAAGATCACGACTTATTCGAATAAACTAAAGATTATTCAAATAGAAAGGCAACTTCTCCGCACAAAGGCTGATCTAAAATGAGTTTTAAAGGTAAGATGATAAGGGAATGAACCTTAGAGATTCCATACTCTTTAACACATAATCTGAGACCTAAAACACTACCCAACTAAGGAAACAACCTCTTCGGTCTCGTTCCTTTCTCCGATGCTCAAGTCCCTTCTTCACGGACGGATATGAACTTGTTGTAGCTTTGATTCTTAGCCTTGATGCACAAAATGATGATGATATTTTGTCACTCTTTTGTCATTATCAAAACCTAAAAGACAATGGGCAAAGGACATTGCAAAAATATATATGCATGATAGCACATTGTCCAACAATCACGCCCGATCACGCCCGAAGGGGGGCGGTGTTTAACGCCGCCGGAGCGTTAAACGCCCCCTCACGCCGTGGGGCGTTGCTGGTATTACCAGTGCTCTAAATCATGCAATTTTTGAAGAGTTCGAGGGTAAACGATGTACTTTTTGATATTCAGGGATAAACCATGCATTTTCCAAAGAGTTTGGGGGTAAATGATGCTCTTTTCTCTTTAATTTAATTATTTCTTAAATTATGTGAAAAAGTAAATAATTTTTTTTAACTTTTATGTAGTAAAATTAAGTAATTTTTTACTGACAAAAAACGTATCCTCTCCCTCAATAAAAGAAAAAAGAACAAAATTGACCAGGCCGCCCAGGCGCCCACATAGGGTAGCTTATTAGATGGTCGAGGTCTAGAGGACTCGAGGAGTGTTAAGTCCGAATTCTCGAGTCGATTCTCAATAAGGGCAGCTTGAAAATTTTATCGAATGTGATAGTTTTTTGTGCACCATGGATTTTTTTTAGAAGAACATAACCCTGCTGATTCGTCACGTCAGCGTCCAAAGTCCTTAAAGAAAGAAAGAATAAAGGCACACCAAAAGTCGTTTTCTTGAGGGGTAGTCTTGCAATTTGCGGGCCAATAAGGGCATTTCGCATTTTTGTCTCCTTCTCCTCAGTTCTTTCTCCTTTCAGAGGGGCATTATTCATTCATTTATTCCATTCATTCGCTGCAAAGAAGAAGAAGAAGTCCCCATGACTGAAAAAAGTGAGATATTTTGGGACGAAAGCTCATAGGTTGCAGATGGTTTCTTGGTTTTTGCAGACATGGGCTTCCTTAGTATGACTATTACACTTAAGACCCACTTTTCCCTTTCGCCGCTCTCTCTTCAACTTGCAGCCTTTTCACTCTCCGATCATCGTTTTGGCATCACTTTTCCGAGCCTTTTGGAATTTCTTGGTTGAGTTTATTAGAGTGGGGCTGTTTTATTTGCGTTCTTTAGTGTTTTAGCCCTCAAAACTGGAAGTATTTATGATGTCATTAACTGCCTCACCTTATTTTTACTATAAAAAAATGATCTTTGTCTGGGTTTAAGGGTTTTTACTTGGAACTTATATGGATGGTTTTTGCTTCTCTTAATAATAGTTTTAAATTCCTAACTTTATTTACTTGTTACTATTATGTTTCTATTTCTGCTTAGTTCACCTTTGGACCTCTCTTCCGTGTCGATTAACCCTAATGACATTTGAAGTTAGATTCTTTTTAAATTTTATATGATTACGGATGAACAAGCAGTGTTTTTTTTGTTTTGTATTTTTAAGAAATTGAATGCAGGTATTAATTATTGTAATGTTTTCAGGGGCATGTTTCGTCTTGTTATTTTGCTATCTGCCCTTCTTACTGCGACGAATTGGCAACCTTGTCTAGCAACCACTGAATTGACCCAAGAAGTTTTGGTTCATCTGTCAAGTATAGACAATGTTGTATGCCCTAATCCAAACTCGTTTTGCTCTACTTCAACATTGGCTCGGGTGTTGTCTGAAAAAGACAGTTCTGCCCCTACACAGTGGAGTGCCCAAGTATCAGATTCTGGGTTTTTTCGGTTACTAGGTGGTAAAAGTGTTTCATGTTCACTGAATAATGGGGATTTGACGACGAAAGATGTGGATAACAGTGACACTATGGGATTGAAGTTGACATATGGTTATTTACCAAACTTAGAAGTTAGACCTCATCTGCTTGACTGGGGAGAGAAGTTTTTATATGTTCCTTCATTAGCCTTTGGTATAGTGGCAAACACACGCAAAGAAAACATTTTGGTTGTTATTGATCCTTATAGTACCAACTCTCAGTTCTATTATTGTAACAGTTCTTGTGAGGTGGTGTTGGGTCCTGGAGGGACTTGTTCAATTTGTTTTGGGTTTTTGCCCACTTCTTTAGGCCTATCTTCAGACCACCTTGTTTTACAGACAAACTATGGCGGTTTCTTGGTTAAAGCTAAAGGCTTTCCTATCGAATCACTTTGTGGGGTTGGACTTGTTATTCTTAGTGGAAGGGGGAGTAAGAATTTCACTCTTTTTACCCATTTTAATGAAGCCCTTTGTGTGGAGGAGGTAATTTCTTGGGCATCTGTTTCTTTAGGAAATGCTTCCGTATTGACACGAAAGGTTTTTAGTGTTAATAATAATGATGATGATGCAAAAGTTGGTACATTCTCTCTTGATGAGTGGATGAATGATACATTCATAATATCTCTAGAAGTGGAGAGCACAAAAAAATCAGACTTTGTGTCATTGTCTCTTACTACCACTATCAAGCCTTGTGGTTATGGTGGGACCGTCTTTCTTGCTCTCTTTGCCCACAATGATTCTCCTCATGCATTGAGAATTGTCAACATCACCAAGGAAGGAGACGATAACTCAAAAAGTTTTCAGATTAAACATGTTGAAGGGTTAATGCTTTCCCCACACACTGTTACTCAAGCAGCCTTGGTTAGCTACAGTCTTGAATCTCATCTTCCCGACATAGATGTGAGTTGCAAAATCTTTGTACACACAAATGGCTTTGGAAATTCTCGGGTTGAGATCCCATGTAGGGACATTGGGTACATATTTAGTATTTGTGTGAGAAATAATTCAGAATCTTCTGAAGGGGAGGAAAATGTAAATGTTAGATCGAGTTCGTTGGACTACAACAATTCACAGGTATGCAAAGTTCTGGTTCTTGTTGTTCTTCAACTAATTCCTAGTTGCTGTTACTTCTTGATGCTACCGAAACCCCAATCCACAGAGAGTCCCTTTAACATTTAATAGAACTTATAATATAATGATATTTACAAGAATTGTGCATGTTAAGATTGAGTTTGTGTTAAATATTCAAAAATTTCTCTAAAAAAGAGCCATTAGGCCACATATTGAGAACAATTTAGTCTGAAAAGATCAAATCCGACTAGTCCTTTGTCTTTTTGTTTTCTTCGCAAAAAACTTGACTTTTGATAGCGCGCTTATTTGTACTTTTCTGAAAATCTGAGGATCATTTGATAACTTGACCAGATTTTGATAGACCGTAGTTGTAAATAACCAATTCGTTCAAACTACAGCTCATCAAGATTTTTCTTTTGTTCATGATGATTGATTTCATTGAAATTACATATATGTAATATGAAGGGATGGATTGGAGCAGAAGCTGAAGAAGCAATGCCGATGAACGGGAGGTCTCAAGCAACTGCAAGTGACTTGTCTGTTCTTGAGAATCCCGAGGTTATATTCCCCGTGATTGAGGTTGGACACATGTCTTCAGAATGGATCACTGTTAAAAACCCAAGCCAGGAACCTGTTCTTGTGCAGTTGATCTTAAACTCTGCAGAAATTATCGACGAATGTGGGCCCCCAGAAATGCACCTGCAGGCTTCTTCATCCAACACTTTAATGAGTAGTAACAATTCTTGTGTTTTGGCAAGATATGGATTCTCCATAGACAACAATGCAGTGACTGAGGCTCTCATCAGTCCTCTTGAGGTGGCATCTTTAGGTCCTGTTTGGTTTCGCCCTGGATCTCCATGTAGATGGAAAAGCTCGGCTCTCATACGAAACAATCTTTCTGGTACAGAATGGGTTTCTCTCAGTGGGGTTGGGGGGTCAGTCTTTATGGTTCTCCTTCAAGAAGAAGATCATGAACCTATTCAAAGTCTGGATTTCAAAATGAACTCGCTTAATTCATCTTTTCCCGGAAAATCTATTGGGTGTTCTCAAGCATTGATGAAAGAGGTTTACGCGAAGAACACCGGCGATCTGCCCTTAAGGGTCATAAGAATTGGGATTTCTGGGACAGGATGTGTGTCGGATGGTTTTTCTGTAAATTTCTGCAAAGGGTTTTCACTGTCGCCTGGGGAATCCCAAAAGATTGTGGTCTCGTATCAGACAGACTTTTCATTGGCCACAGTACATAGGGATCTTGAGCTGTCTTTGAGCAATGGGATTCTTGTTATACCCATGAAAGCCACTCTTCCTATCCACATCCTTAGCTTATGCAAAAAGACGTTTTTGGAAAGATTACGAATTTCTCTCTTCCGAATGCTCCTTGTTGCTTTCTTACTCTTTCTTTTCATAACTCAGCTAAGAAAGCCCCAAGCTTACGACTACTACTACTACTACTATACTCCTAAGAGTGGGAAAATCCGTCCGTCAAGAAACACCATAGTGGCAAAAGCTCCCGTAGAACAGGAGAAGGGAACCGTTGCGCGGGACCCACAAAAAAAGAGCATTGAAGTCGGGAATTCAGATACGCGAGAGATGCAACAAAATGGGAACAATAATCTCAGGGTCAAAGTTGGAAATGAGATGGGGAAGAGGAAGAGGAGGAAGAAGAAAGGCTCTAGTGGTGGAGGGAACAAACTTTTTGATGTCTCAAGCAGTAGCCATAGTGGGAACTCCACACCATCACCCTCGTCCCCCGCACCCCGCTCTCCCGTTTCCCACTCCAAACCAATATGCAAGAGAGAAGTGGTTCGTGAGGCGGGTGCTTCTCCGAAATTGGGAAATGACAATCCTACCCTTGGTACTACTCAAGAGAAGAAGCCTAAGGTGGATACCAGTCCTCCTCCTTTCGATGGTGGCACGCCTGTCTCATATGTTGAGACTCTCGTGCCACCATTGCGGGTCCCGGGGTCAAGGTTTCGCGGGGAAGAAGGAGAAAAGGTTGAGGAAATGAAAGGGTGGAATGAAAAGTTTGTGACTTATGACATATGGGGTGATCACCTGTTTGGACTTCATCTGACAAAGGACAATACTTTGCCAATGAGAGCCCCAGTTATACATAACAACTCTGATAGCTTTTTTGCAAGAGGTCCACAGATCCTAATGACCAACTACTCTCAACAGAAAGTTGTAAGTTATGATCATGATGGATATTAATAAACATATTAATAATAAATTACTTAAAACACTTATCATTATTATTTTTATCATTTGGTTTTATTTGTTAATATAAACTTAAACCAAACCAAATCCATTTTTAAACCAAAGTAGGATGGAGGTGATTTTTTTTTTAAAACCAAAGTGGACAGTATGCAAAAGAGACCACAAATTGAAGATAAATAGATAATAAGTACTTTATTTTTTATGGTTTGGAGTTGAAGTTGATGGTTAGATGTACATTTTTAGGAGTGTAGAAGAAAACTTGTTGGAAAATGTCTGTTGCCATTTTCAGACCCAAATAATAGAGACTGCTACTGATTTAGGTCAGTTTAAGGTGGTCCTGAATGGGAAAATTAATTAGGTGTGTTTATGTGTTTAAAGTGGTCAATGAGTGAAAAGAAAATTAGGTGTGAAAGTGTACCTATTAAAATTGGAAAAATAAAAATGCTAGTATTAATCAAGATTGACACCATATTTTTCATACAGTAATTGTGAGTGCAGAGTTATTATTTGTGAGACATTAATATGTAAATAGTTAATGTGAGAAAGTCTTATTTTAGGGATAAAAACATGTTATCCTTATTTTGGAGATAAGATATAAGAGTTATGCTTTATTTCTATTTTGGGTGATTTTTTATTATTCCGTTTGATTTTTTTACTGATGTGAAATTTGAGTGTAAGGGATTGACTCTAGGGCCCGCTTGGTGTGTTTTGGAGGTCCCATAAGATATGTTTTTTAAATTTCTAAAATAAAAATAATATGAGATTTGAAATTTGAAATATACGTGTTTGAAGAAAATAGAAATAAAATGAAATTAGAATCATGACTGTTTTTATTAAAATTTTTATGTCCAATCCCATATTTGTTTTGTTCACAAAAATGTTACTCCCTATTATAATCTCTTCTTGTGAAGTCCAGCACTTGGAGAGCAGAGTGCATTACTTCATAGAAAATGAAATGTGTCTTTGGATTTTCAAGCAAGGTGAAGATTTATTGACTTGTCAATTATTCTTTTGATTGTTTAGGGTGATTTATTGAAGTGAATTTGAGAATGAAGTGTGATTTATTGAAGTGATTCTGATTTTCAATTAAAAAAATGAGAGAGGTAATTCTAATTTTCATGAGGCGATTTTAATTTTCATAATGTTAAATGAGAGTGGTTGTGCATTTGTTTGTACATTTATTCAGACAATTCTAAAAGATTATTTGTACAAAATGTGTTGATTATATACATATGTTTTGTTCAAGGAATTTGAAAGAGAAAAGAAAAGAAAACGAGACGTAAAACAATTTTTTCTTGTTTGGTTAAAGAAGAAAAGAAAAAGAAAATGCAAGAATAAGAAAATAAAAAAGCAAAATGTATCAAGAGGATAGAGAACAAAATTTCTCTCCTTTTAGGCGAGGAAGATGCAAGAAAAATATTATTTTTCTTTTCCTTCCAAATTCTCTAAACAAAAGATAGGATTTGAGAAGTGTCCAATCGCTGATTCTTAAAAATCAAATATTTTGATTAATAAAATCATACTTATTAGTATGATATTCTATATTCTAAGCTAAATTTCTATGAATTTGTTTTTGGGTACTTCCATAAAACCTTTTACTAATGAATTAGATTGAAGTTATATATTTTAGATTTTTCTCTCATTTTCTTTCGGTGTGGGAATAGTTTGATATCCCAACACTTCGGCCCATAATCTCACACGAACGGATCTCTTATTACCAACTAAACCCCTACAAATTTTTCACCCTTTTTCTTGAGTCGATTCCAATATATCAGTATATATTTACAACAAACTTTACAAACAAAATTTTAACTACATAGATACCTTTAAGCCTGTTTTGAAATTTTTGTGTACTTTAAAATTTAATACTCTATTCGTCCTAAACCATTTGTTTAGTTTTGACTTTTCAATAAGCTAGGGTCAACCTTTGATAATTAATTAAATAAAAATTATATATTAATTAAATAAAACAATATTTTGAAAGTATTTTACAAAATACATCTAATAAATAATTTTTTAACCAAATTAATATCAATTTTATTTAATTAATAATCAAACTTTGTTAATTTTACTTGCCTGCAAAAGTGAGAATGAGACAAACACACACAAGGATGAGAATAAAAGTAAAAGGCATGTAATATTTCCAAGAGTGTGTTTGGTGTATCTATTATTGGATGCACATTCAATATGCATGTATGTGCCTAAGACTTCCATATTCGTCCTTCCAATCCGACATTCTCCGGCCCATGCACAACTCAACCCATCTCATCTCACTTCCCATATATAGGAAAACTACAATTCCCATTGTCCATCCAAGGACTTCTTACAAAGCACAAAATCCATGAGAGGGTGTGTGGATATATTAGATTTAATTTTAAATTCAATATATATATATATATATATATATAGAAGCCATGTTTTCAAGTGCGATATATCAAAAATAAAAATTGTAAAAACTCACACCCTCTTATGGATTTAAATATTTAAAAGCAAAATATTTAAATTCAAGATATATAGAAGCCATGAACGCCTAAAATGAGTAAACACTAATCATGATGGTGATGTAGGGTTTTTTTTAAGTCTTGAGAATATTTTAGGAGGATAAATAAAAGGAAAAATTCACACGAATACTCCAAAAATACAACTTTTTACGAAATGCTTTCACATTTGATAATTAACATTTTGCTCCCAACTTCCTTATATTCTCACGTCGATACTCAAAAAACATGACATGTATTTTGAAAAGTGAAATTTGCACTAAATAGTACTACTAAAACATATTTTTTTCTAATGTAATACTTAAACTTTTTTATTCCCTAAATAGTACTTGAATAATGTCTAGTAGCGGAAACAATGTCCAGTGATGGTGACATTTAGTTTGAACAATGTCTAGTGGTGCTGGACATTGACTTGAACAATGACCATTGGACATTGGGTAGTGGTACTACATCGAGAAATAAAAACATACTTCCTCCGTCCCATAAAACATTTCCTGTTCCAAAAAAGGCGCGCCCTTAAAATGAGTAATTTTAGTGTTATTTTTTAATTATGACTAATCTATTCTACACATCTCATCCTACTCTTTTATAAAGTAAGGGAAAAATTAGAAAATAACACCAAAATTACTCATTTTAAGGGCGCGCCTTTTTTGAAACAGGAAATGTTTTATGGGACGGAGGGAGTATGATACTACATCAGAAAAGTCACTATTTTTAGTACTATTTAGGTAAATTTTCCTTTTGAATACTCTTTTTCTATTTTAAATTTATTAAAAACGGGAGTCCTAGCTTGGTCTTTTAATTATTTAAAACACTAAATTTTATTTAACTATATTTTTTTGTATAGGTAATTACTCCATTTACATCATTTACAATTATAAAATTTTATTTTATAAAACTCCGCAGATAATCAAACTCAAACTATTAATTTATCATAAATAGAGTATTACGGAGTAATAAACATTTTGATTTTATGAGGAAAATCAAATGAAAAAGATAAGATTACGAAGGAGATGAAAAATACTTCGGAGTATACGAGAGCAACAAAAATATGAACACAGTGCGTATGAAGAAGACCTAGGGCTCCCATATTTAATAAAATTAAAATAAAAAAATACTCTAAATACAAGTTATCTCTTTTAATCCACGTAGGAACTAATCGGGCAAGTGAGGAGTAACGACGTAAAAATATAAGAAAGTTAGGAGCAAAAATGTTAAATTATAAATAAGAGACTCAGAGAGTATTTTAGTAAAAATTTGTAATTTTAGAAGTACTCGAGTAAACTTTTCCTAAATAAAAGGACAAAAGAAGTGAAGTGCCAATAGTTAAACTTGACATTCACATGACCGATGCTTAAATGGTTCCAAAAACCATATTTAAAATGTGGACCTTCTCACATTTTTCATGGGCTTTCAAGTGAATATTTTCTTTTTTAGAAAAGCACATTTCTTTTATATTATAAACGCACTAAATTTCATATAATGAGCATGGACGTTGGGTCTACGGAAGAATTTACCATTCAAATACTATGTACTCCGTATTTTATAACGGTTGTGCATTAGTAGGCTAGTAGCATTACATAACGAACACCCAAGTATTCAAATCCGCTATGCTACTTGCACCCCACTAGTGTACACTATTTTGTAAGCCAGTATTTTGCCAGTGTTTTCAGACTAGCATGGAATATGTGTGCAAGACACTATCAATCACACTAGCATTCTGTGATAGTACATACTAGTATTTGTCAATACCAATTAAGCTACTTGTATCCTAAATCGCACACCAATACGTTACGTATATCCTAATTTATATACTAAAGGTATGCACTAATGCCAGTGTGATGGTTCACACTATTAGTGCGTACCTTTGGTGTACACTTTGGAATACATTCTTTGGTGTAACTCTAACATAGTTGATTTGAATGCTTATTGAAATATTCAAACACTTACCAGAAGAATCGTTAAGGCTGTTTGGCGTGGGATCACTGCATCCCCACCATCTCTATTTGTCAATTCAACGTCATGCCAATTTTTTTTATCTTTTTAATTCAGGGGCCATGCTCATCGTTTTTTTTAATCCAGAGTACTCCGTATTACTTTTATAACAATTCATTTCATATTTTATACTTGAACTAAAAAGTTTAAATTAAAGATTTTATTAATATTAAAATAAGGAGTAAAATTTATCGTTTTTATTTTTTAATATTACTTCTATAACATTTTTTTAAAATCAAGGGTGTCGTTGCTCATCCTCCCTTTTTGCTTTCGTTTTTTAATACGGTGAAAAGGAAGCCCGCTCCTGAATATTCATGATGAGCTCGTGCGAGTTGCACCGGAGACAGAAGTATTGATTCAATGTGCATCATTAAATTGAGAAAGTATATAGTGATACTACAGAGTACATTGTAATCAACTCAAAAGCAGTCAAAAAATTAATACGGAGCATAAGAAAGAATGAAATACCGGTGAGAATTTCTTGTTTTATCCAAGCACGACATATAAGAAAAATTAAAATTATGCAGTTTTTAGGAGAAACATGTAAATCAAACATTCTTATTTTATTTACAATAAATCATACATTCGTTTTAAAAGTTTTTTTAAAAATGAAACTGTATATTGTGACACTCAAATACTCTATATAAAAATATGGATAACATCCTAGTGGAACCGGATCCCTCATAAAATTTATTACCGTAGTAAAAAAGGATAAACCCCGTCTCGAAGACCCCTCAAATTTGGCCGAATAGTACGAGGTATATTCGGAACTAAGGCACATCATTTTGGTATAACAGGAGGGGGGGGGGGGCTGAAATAATCCATATTTTGTATATTCCCTATCCTATAATTGATTTTTCTTGTGCAATGTTGTGTTCATATCATATTTTCCAACGCCCAAACCGAATAAGGTCAAATCGTGAAACATAGCTAAGGGTGCGGGTGATGTCTACGGTCATATTCTCTCGGGTTTAGATTAGCCATAACAGAAGAAGAAGCACTTACATGTGGCAAATGCATTAGAGACGCAAAGTTCCTACCATGAGAAACTGGGTATGGCATTATATGGTTGTAGGCCTCAGATGGAAAGTGGCCATAATTCTGGGGCGGGAGAAACAATAAGGCGCCCTGGTGATAGTGTGTATCAGGTCGGATATCAAATGAGGAGTTGCTTCTAGCGAGATGACTAGCATTTGCACGGTTTCGAGGTCTTTGACGAGTTGATGAAGTTGTGGCTTTGGGTTTTCTCCCATGGCGATTCTTTGGTTTTTTGTTGCTTCCATGTTTGTGGTTGTGATCTTCTTCATGCTTTCGCTTTTTTGTGCCTAATTATAATCATTCAGATAAATAAGAAAAATGAAACTATGAAAGAGCCACTCCCAACCCAAAACTAGTAAACTTTGATCACAAATTAAATAAAAGTGATATTACGTTTTGATAGAACAATAATTTTATTAGATTCATTTTATAAAATATTTTCAAAATATTATTTTATCTGATTAATATGCAATTTATATTTTATTTAATTATAGGTCAAAGATTAAAAATGGTTGACTGCAAAAACTCAAAAGTGGATGAATACTCAGGGACAGAGATAGTACCTTTTCTATCTGTGAAGGCTTGTTTTCTCTCCATAGATCTCATCTTTCTAGTTTCTCTGACAAGTCTAGCAGCTGCTCCTCGTTGATGCTTCTCTGCAAGCACTCTTAATCTTTCCTTTTCATTTTTCCATCGCTGATAAATGAAGCAGAGAGAAATTATATTTCTACCAGCATTAGCTAATGAGTACGTTTTTTATCTTTCACTCAATTACTTAAAGAAAAGCAACCTTTTCACCAAATTACATTTGCCATGAAATAGAAATTGACCTGTCTGAAGACTTTCAGTTTGTAGAGGTTCCGACCCTTAACAAGCAAAGGGAAAAGTGGAGGCAGCTTCTTAACACCTCGGTTCCACAACACTTCAACCTGATTTATACAAGAGCACAGATTAACTTGACTGATACTTTATATCCAAACAACCCTGTCACATTATTATTTTATTTGTTTTCTGTTCATATGGATTACATAAAATAGACTATGCAGTACTCATCCATACAGTAAAAGTATGTTGTTGTTTTGCAGCACCATAACTTTCCTTAACAACTCTTCCAGCAATAGTTCTCTTCCCTGAAACATTGCCACTCCTGGTCATCTTGTCAAAACTGATCAAGATAACTCATTTATTAACAGGAAATACAGAGTACAAAAATAGAGCCTACACAACTGCCCTTGAAAATTTCAAATCTAGTACTTCCTCCTACTAAAAAAAAGAGTCCTCTTTAAGTCTTTAGGTTAGGTAAATTTTTTTTACTTTTAGTCAACCCCTATCAAAGAATAAGCTTTTACAAGTTATGGATGGTCACTTATACCCACAAACCTTTTTTCCTAGGATTGTTAGTACTTCATTTCCATCATCTCCAATGGAGCCAAAGGTTTACAATTTTTTGGCTTTGGGGTATTGATGATCATAAAACAAAATGACTTTTTAAACTGTCAATGCAACTTTCGGCACTCGGCATTGGACTTCTGGAAAAGCCACTCTATGTTTTAGACAAAGGTATGGCTGCGTACATCCGGCAGTTGCATTGACAGTAATGGTGAATATGAAGCTGCCTCCTTTGTATTGAAATGCAACTTTCATTTTAAAGTCCATTCTAAACTTGGATATTTCCAATCTAGTAATCAAAAATTTAAACTACATGAGAGAAGAATGGTGAATACTTCTTGTACACTTTTTGTGTGAACAATACAACGTCTCCTTTGCAAACATCACCTGGATGAAGATTCAAGGAAAAGAAAATTGGTTTAAAAAGACAGCAGAAAGAGCTGAATAAATCGTGTTTTGTAGTATATAAAGTTAAAAATTACCAGTACAGTTGATATTGAATGATGATCTGGGATAGAATGTTTCACCCTTCCCGTCTTTAATCCTGATCAACAGAAGTGAAAGAACATAGATGGGATATCTGAAATAAATACCAAGGAGTACACCAAAATAATGGTTTATGAATACAAGTCATACGTGAAAAACGGTGGATGCTACCTGCATTTAAGAAGCAAGACATGGAGCTAAGGTGACTGACTGATTTCTCAAAGAGTTGAAATTGATAGGGTTATGGAACAAAGGAAGAGGCAAACAAAAGATCAAGGAGCTAACTTGACTATCTATCAAAAAGTTGGTTTATTTCTCCGGCTAAACTCCACTGTTGGTCCTTCAACTTTATGAGTTGTGCACGATTGGTCCTTCAAATTTCAAAAGTCTATAAATAGTCCTTCAACTTTATGAGTTATGCATGATTGGTCCTTCAAGTTTCAAAAGTCCATAAATAGTCTTTCAAGTACACGTCAGCCCTCCAGATGAGGTCCTTTTGACGGTAAACGTTTAAAGCTAAATGGAGTACTAGCTCCACATAATACGGAGTAGTCGTACCTAGTGGAATTTACTCGTATCATATGAAACTAGTATTCTATTTAGCTTTTAATGTTTACTGTCAAAAAGACCTCATCTGGAGAGCTGACGTATACTTGAAGGACTACTCATAGACTTTTGAAACTTGAAGAACCAATCGTGCACAACTCATAAAGTTGAAGGACCAATGGTGAATTTTAGCCTATTTCTCCAGGCTTATTCCTTTCTTATCTGTTTCTTTAAGTTCTCTCTGCTGATTAGTCTATTTGCGAATGCACATTTCCATGTCTCTTTAGGTCCTATTTAAAGGGACCATTAGGGGTTGACTATGAAGCATGGTTTATCATTAGTTAGCCAGTTAGGTTGTTGTTATCTTTACATTGTATCCTCTTCTGCTACTTATTCTTTCCAGTGACATTCTCAGCTCTTGTATATATGTGTGAGAAGCAGCGTTTGTTCATTGAAACTTCAAAGAGGTGTACTTTCTAATTCAAGTGTATAAAATTTCTATGACTCTTCATCTTTCCAAGACGAGTCGTTTTCACAGCCATGATTCGGCTCAGTCAACAGGGGAAAATAAAGCAATCAAGACTGAATTAACAGACTGAAATAATGCTAGCAAATCATTACGAAATTGAAAATGCGAGAGATGGTAAATCAAATGACTAGGAAAGCTTGCCTCCGGTGCTCCATGATCCTCTCTATACACTCATCTTTAGTTCCTGACAATCTTAACCCATTCTTTCTCAAATATGCTTTACACTCCACCAACTTTAAATCTTGCAAATCACCCTTCCCTATACAATAAAGGCAACACAACATTATTACTATTAACTATGAACTGTATGATGATGATGGTGATGATGCGATGAAGATGTACCGGTCATATTAAAAAATTGGCAAGGCTAAAGCGCCATACCTCGAAGGAGACGCATAACTCTGCACAAATGGTGATCATTCTCTTCTTCTTTGACTTCTTCGGACTCAGAAGACTCGTCTCTTTCATCATCCGTCTCATTCCATTCACTTTCTTCGTTTTCAGAGTCGCTTTCTCTAGCAAGAGCAAATTACAAACGAGAAGAATTAAAGTTCATGCTCCAATATTCGATGTTCGACTTGTGAAAGCCACATAAGATTAGGTCAATCGGAGATCCCCCTAGATCACCTTGAGGTGGAGGACAAGGTATCTACGGCGTCTCCGTCGAATTCGTATTCCGATCCTGACGTTTCCGATTGATCTGATCCGGAAGACGAAGAAGAAATGAGGATTTGAGCTGGATTTTGGCATCTTTCATCCGCCATCTTGATGCTCGATATCGATCGGCGAATGAATTTGAAGGATGGGAGTTATATTATGATCGTATGAATGCGTTCAGGACTTCAATCGCGCCTTATTGACAACGATGGAGCCGAGCCGTTCCGGCTCTGCCTGTTGCGAAATTCCCCTACAGGAGTTTGAACATCGAAGACCCCTTCCCAAAACAATTCTACCACTTATTTTTTTATTTATTACTGGGGTATTTATTTTTGTTGGAGATCAGAAATAAATTTATACTCCCTCCGTCCTAATTCCACCTTCCCACATTGACTTTTTCCCATTTTTAAGGACTCCATATTTTTACCTTTGACTTCCCATTTTGCCCCTTACTAAAAATTTTAGGAATTTTTTTTAAGGCTAACTAAAAAAAGGTTAAAAAAGGGATTTAATAAAGGAAAAAAACATAATAAAACATCTCAAAAGGAAGCAATCCACGGTACATTAAGCCCAAATAGCAAAGGCATCCACTTTTACAAATTTCATGTTCAACCATATTCAATAAGGAGGGAAAGTTCTAAAAATTTCCCTCCCAAACAAAAACAGAAAATTCCCCCAAAGCCTATTCTATAAATAGCAGCATACTTTCCACTTTTAGAAAGGGAATCCCTAGCCAATTTTTTTCATCCGTAATGTCTGCCCCAGTTCCTGAACCTCCTCCTGCGTTTGCTGCTGCTGCTGCCAGCATCTCGACAGGTATTACGACCATCCCGAGTGCTGCAGCGACCATCCCGGGTGCTGCTGCTGTCCTTCAACCAGGCAGAGATGAGGACCTGCGAAGAGAACAAAGATCATGC